CATCGGAGGACTTTTTCCTATGTATTTAGTCGCGCCATTTTCGCTATCTAATTACAGCCACTCATGCATATGTCACACTTTCATGATTCTAATGCTCATAAATTGTGACGCGCGGATGATCAACATTACAGTTAGATTACTTTGATTTTAAAAGATGTTACTTGAGCGCTGATAAGCAGAAAAATTTTAATATATTTAAATAAACTTTTAAAAATTTACAAACACCGACCACATAGTTGCGATTATGTTTGCGGTTTTACGATCCGGTCGATATATCTGAAGTATGTGGCAAATTTATAAATTCCTTACAAATAGATTTTATTTTATTACAATTTGTCATAGGCTATTTTAAATTAGACAGCTTATTAACAATAACTACCTTAAAATAAAATTATATTGATTCAAGAGAAACGAGCTATGTCCTACTAAAATTTCGAAATTATTCATCACATAAATGAACGACAATGTTGAACCGTAATGTATTGATTTTCTGAATGGTTCTCCTTTTCTTGTTGGTTCAAGGCTAATTTCGAGATGAAGAAGCAACGCTGTTCATTACATCCATCAAAATAATGTTTTAATAAAGTATACCGCAATTGTCATAAACTTTGCGTAATGTAAATTAATTCACATCATTGTGACACATCAACTTGAAGCGTTACATCATGGAAATTTCATTTTGTTTCATGAGATAGGACAATACAACACGAGGGCGATCTGCCGAAGGGGCTACCTTTCGGGAGGATTCTTTACAGTAAACTGGCCTCTATTTAGGCGTTATACACGTGAAGAAAACTCTGAATACTCCACGTGGCCAGCCCGTTAATGGGGCACGTGTTTTATCCACTCGGCCACTAATGGGCCATACAGAAATTCAATTATTTATTACATTAGAGCCCACGTAGGGCTTTCGGCCTCACTGGCACTTGCAGTCCAATCTTGACGATCTTCTGCACGTTTCCTCCAATCATCGACCCTCATCTTCCTCCACATCATCCAGCCATGGCTTCCGTGGTCTTCCTCTACATCTCCCGCCACCCGGATTTCCTCTATAAATCTTCTTGGCAGCTCTATCATCCGACATTCGCTCAACATGCCCGAACCATCTCTTTATTTCCACAGTATAACCGTACAGTTCTACCAATTCACTGTTTTACCGCATCCTCCATTGCCCCAAATATTTTCCTTAGAATTTCCCTCTCCCATCTGAACAGTTCCTCCACTGATTCTTTATACATAATAAAAATTTACTAATTTGTTTGAAATTCCACGCGCGTATTCTCAAGATTACGCAATATCAATTATTACATTAATTTTACGCAATTATTCTTGTAAAAAAAAAAACAACTTAACTCCCCAAATTTAATAGGCTTATTTCCAGATACCCGCACCTTTTCTTTCACACAAAAAAAGAAAAATAATAATAATAAATAAACGCTGACATTAACAAACTTCACAGAGTTTCAATGCCTGAATGCACAAATCATCCTTCATTACGGTTTTGAGAAAAGTTTTATCTCTAACAGAGCTACAATGGAAACAAAACATGGTAAAATGTGCCAAGTATGTCAACACATTTTGCCAAATCCCAACTCATCTTTATAGCTTGAGTATTGCTATAGGTGGGCTACTGCCAAAAACACTATCTCTTATGTGTTTTTTTTTTTCTTTCTTTCTCCCATTTTAATTTTTTCTTACCTCAGTTCCGGTATGACTACAGAAAAGAGAGGAGGAAAAATCAAATTAAGAAGGAGGAGAAGAAGAAGAAGAATTTTTACCAAAATGGCGGCGAGCCAATTCGTTTGTTGTTCGTCGACTAAATCTGAAGAGAGACCCTCTCATTGTCCTAGAAGTTTCAAATGAAGACAAACGAGTCTTTCCTTCGTCTCTACGGCATCAATATTCCAATGTCTGATGAACAATGCGCACTTTTTAAACTCCATTTTCTTTATATTCTTTTTAAAAAAAAATTATAATCGCCAGACGACAAGAAGATAAAAAAAAAACAGACGATACAACTCGATCACGTGACTCTTCGTTTCGCGCGCGATGACGACGAAACCAAACGATAAATTATTATTAGTAAATTCCTATATTATAAAATATAAACTAAAATATCATACTTTTTACAGAAAAATTTATAAAATTTCCGATAAAGAATTAATAAATATTAACTGCTTAATTTGATTGATTTAACCATCGAACGATTTTAAATAATTGCGAAAGTGACGTCACGATAATCGACATTATTTATAAATTCAGATACAAATTTTATTTTTTTTTAGTGACCAAATATCGTTACGAATTTTTAAATATATATATATATATTAAAAGTCTTATCATTTAATAGTGTTTTGATTACTTAACTTGATTAATTTCGTAGCTAAACGAATAGTGACGTCACAAACAAAAAGATAAAACGAATTTAAAAAAAAAAAAAACAGAGAAGAAAATCAGCTTCTGCCGTATTAAATTTGTCCTAAATCTATGCACCTAATAATAATAATAATAACTTTTTTTCTAAACTTAATTTAAACTTAATTCACTCGCTTAAGAACTTAATTTAATTACGAGATATATTTATGCTAATGAGCTGTGACGTCACAGCAATTAAATACACGTAATCTCGTTCGAATTTTTCCTTCCGAAACTAAGAGAAAAATGTTTAATATTTTAACCTTGGTTTAGAATAAATTTAATCAAGCGAAAATATTTTAAAAATTCCTTGAGTTGCACTAATTAATCAGATAAAGTATTACGTTTTTATAAGTATAAAGAAATATTAAAAATTTACTCCAAGTTTATTTTAGATTTATAGTAAAGCATTAAAACGCTACGAAGTAAGAATTAAGATTCAGGATAATTAACTAATTATCATTTGAAAAATATTGGAAATATCATTCGTTGACATCACGCTATCGTTTTAAAAATAAATATAATAAAAATAAATACATATATGTATATTCTTAAATTACTTTAAAACTGTTTCGCTAATAATAATATTAACGTTTAATTTAAAACACGTAAAGCTCGTTAGAATTTTGTGATTTAAATTCGCTTTATTCTGATGACGTCACGGCAATTTAAATATAAAAAGATAGCAATAAAGCAAACAATTTCATTAAATGCCTAAATTTTCTTCCTGAAATATTAAAAAAATAAAATAATGCGGTAATAATAATGTTAACATGTAATCATGTTTTTTTATTATTAGAATAAGCATCATATAACCGTTTCCGTAATAAGTTAAGCGAGTTGTGACGTCATGATTTAAATAAAAATATCATCGACATTGTTAAACTTTCAAATTTATTTTTTTAATGAAATTTATAGAAAGTAAATGAATGTGTAATTATAAAAATTAATCATAAACTTTGAGTAATGTAAATTAATTCACATCATTGTGACACATCAACTTGAAGCGTTACATCATGGAAATTTCATTTTGTTTCATGAGATAGGACAATACAACACGAGGGCGATCGGCCGAAGGGGCTACCTTTCGGGAGGATTCTTTACAGTAAACTGGCATCTATTTAGGCGTTATACACGTGAAGAAAACTCTGAATACTCCACGTGGCCAGCCCGTTAATGGGGCACGTGTTTTATCCACTCGGCCACTGGTGGGCCATACAGAAATTCAATTATTTATTACATTAGAGCCCACGTAGGGCCTTCGTCCTCACTGGCATTTGCAGTCCAATCTTGACGATCTTCTGTACGTTTCCTCCAATCATCGACCCTCATCTTCCTCCACATCATCCAGCCATGGCTTCCGTGGTCTTCCTCTACATCTCCCGCCACCCGGATTTCCTCTATAAATCTTCTTGGCAGCTCTATCATCCGACATTCGCTCAACATGCCCGAACCATCTCTTTATTTCCACAGTATAACCGTACAGTTCTACCAATTCACTGTTTTACCGCATCCTCCATTGCCCCAAATATTTTCCTTAGAATTTCCCTCTCCCATCTGAACAGTTCCTCCACTGATTCTTTATACATAATAAAAATTTACTAATTTGTTTGAAATTCCACGCGCGTATTCTCAAGATTACGCAATATCAATTATTACATTAATTTTACGCAATTATTCTTGTAAAAAAAAAAACAACTTAACTCCCCAAATTTAATAGGCTTATTTCCAGATACCCGCNTCTTTAAAAAAAACAATACGGTTTCGATTTTTCCTGAAACAATGGCTACTTCCAGATTAATTTTTTTTAAATACATTTTTTTAATTTATTTTTCTATAGATATTGGTGTAGTTCCAAACTGCATTGTACGAATTTCTAATGGAGAAGGTTGCGTGAAACCTTTCCTCGACAATCAAAGTTACTTTGTGTTATTGACTTTCCTGGAAAATAAAACACTTATTACTTTCCGGTTTAAAAAAAAAAGGAAATAAAAATCGAAATGTTCCGTTTATTTTCCTCACATCTTCCCCGTATTTTAAGGAATATTATCTTTATTTTAAATTCCAAACAATGGAACCAAATAGTCTAGTGATAGACTAATGATACAACCTGATTCTTATAGGCTATAATATGGCTAATTAATTATTAAGATACGATGTAATTTGGGCTAGAGACAGGCAGTTAAATTTCTATCTCGTGTTTTTTATATGTAACAGACATTGCTGACAAATTATTATATTATTTCTATAGAAAATTTCGAATAAAAAAATTAGGTTTAAATCTTCGTACTACCAGGAAGCCATTTTGCTCTAAGATCAGTTATACTGTGATCTTGTATCCAGTTTTAAATGTATTTCTACCTCTCACTTTATAATGCTATTGCGCTTTAATTATAGTTTTTTGTATTTATTTGAATTGTGTGTACTGTAATTCTACTACACTTGATCTCCTAACGATGTTTCCTCCAGTGTAGTAGTCTTGCTTACACCTAAAAAATGGTTACTGAAAGCTCAAATTCTTTTGAAGTTACTCAAAAATTTTCCCTTTAGAAACCAGCCAGAGAGATACAAACCAAAAGACTCACCCTAGCAGCCAGAGAAGATGTTGGTTTTTCTAGTAGATCCCAAAGAAATTTTTGGTATTGTGCTAGTCTACCGTCGCCGAATTCTTCCTCCTCCCTCTGCCTCAGAGATTCTTGCTCCTTCCTCATCTCTTCGTGCACGTGTTCCTTCCTCTGATGATATTTGTGCTGGCAGCATGATTCCATGTAAAGTTCATCGATGCCCCAGTATTCGAGATCGTCGCTGAAAGCGAGAACACACATTTCTTCTACCAAATGCAGCTTCCCTGTCCGGTAGAAGTTAAGGACGGCGCTGAAGCACCTAGGATGACGATCAAAAAAGTATTCGTTATCTACTAAACTATAATCGTCGCATAGTTCCATGATTGCTTCGTGAGTATTGCATTCCCTCAATCGTCCCAGTCTTGTGTTTGGAAGCCTCTCTAGTGTCCTCCATAATACTTCGTGCCTTACTCCACCCACGTTGATGAGAACTCTGCGATTCAGAGCTTTGCTTCTCATAATCATAAATGGCTCCGGAGGAAGCGACGTCATGGATCTGGAGTGAGAACGTTGATCCTTCTGCAAGGGTGTTCCTGGTGGAACCGGTCCCGCTGGTTGTGGTGTCTTGTCCATGTTTATCACGTTTGTCTGATGTCATACGAGTGCAGGGAAGTCGGGTGTCATAGCCTCACCTAAAAAAGCGCGAAGACATTCTGTGTGTTCATTCATCTGAAAGAGAAAAAGATATTCTATTTTATATATATCTATTAGAATAAATGGAAATTATTCATTAGCCGCTGCCAAAAAACTGAAAAATACATCATTTGAGAAGGACATCAAAAATTCTCATGCGATTTTCGCGTGACGCAAAGAAGATCCATCTTACAACTTCTTAGCTTTTTTTTCCATTTTTTAATCGAAATTTATAACATCACTCAGACAAAACACTAAGAAACCATTTTAAACATAGTGATTTGGTGAATATTCTAATTGTTTTCGCATAATGGAGGCATTCAAAAAACGTCATTTACGTTCCCTTTATCTCGGGTAAGGTGTGACGTCAGTTAATAATGGATTTGCAGCAAATCGATTGACCGATATCTTTCGTTATTCTATAAAAAGCAATATATTGTGGGAAAGACATGATCTTTAATCACCGATAAGACTTGATGACTCGCATATTATTAGACACGGTAGCTGAAACAAATTCCGATTGTGAAACATAATAAATTCCCTAGAAGATATCGTTATCAATAAAAAGATTGCAATAAGTGTTAAATATTGTATTCTTAAAGGAGGAGACATAGAAACACTCGGACAATAAATCGAAATTGCTGTTTTTCTTGGCTTGCCATTTAAGCTAATGCTATCAAGAATCCCCAACAAGAAGCATCATGAGACAAGATTCTCGAGTGTGCGATGGTGTCATGCAAAGTAATAAACCAAACGTACATTATAAACTTGGCCCTACACTGCTGAACAATAAGGAAATCGAAGTCGAAAGCAGACAATAAAAGACGTCAATAAATTATGTCGTTTCGCTCGATGGAGAAAAATCCATGCCACTCTCCTTATTCTCGTAATTCTCGAGAGTCTTATGCAGTGAACTGCTAAAATTCCCTTGGCATTTTAACATGCGGATTGCCGATCATTTTACCCTTTCCAATTGAGGGGATGTGCGCGTAACATTTAAGATGAGAAAACACAATTGACAATTCAGCAATACCCCGCTGAATTGTTAGGGCGTTGTGTTTCAGTATGCTAACAACGTTGTTCGGCTGAGAATCGCAATATATCGAACCAGATGTTCGATTTAGGTTAAGTAACTCCTAGGCATGTAATTAAAAATTTAAATTACGTATTAAAAATTTAATTAACTTGTACAATACCCCGACTATTCTTTGTTGCATCGCCATTTATTGGAATTTTTCAGCGGCTTAATTGTTTTCAGTTTTGATTACTTAACGGCGCAAAGAACGATTCGTGATTCATCACCTGCAGCTTAACTGTTATTATGTTATTTAATCACGTGAAAAATCATACAAAAAGATCCCCCGATTACGTAACCAATAAATAAAAGACGAAAATTCAATTAAATATCTTAGTAAAGCGCTGGATCGTTAAAGATGGACGTCGTCCATCTTTAACGATCCAGGCTTTGTGCAGGAGGAATTCTTTTCTTTAAAAAAAAAACTGTATAAAATACTGATGTGTATTTGCCCATTTCCCGTTTTTATTATTCTCAGCGATAGTTTAATACTGACAAATCGTTACATCTCGCAAAATTGCAGACAAGAAGTACAGTCTACCGCATACGTGCTGGTGGACATGGTCTGGAATACCAGCAGCAACGTTCGATGCTGCGCGTTTATAAAAAGAATTTCAATCGACTAAAGTGGAAGCGTAAATCTTCCCTTTTCTGTAATACTTACTGCATCCTGTTCTCTACAAAGATTAAGCATTATTTAATAAATTTAGTACAGTTTATTCCCTTATAAAAACCCCAAAAACACGCTGCGGTACCTGCTAAATCGAGAAGAAATTTCCACAAAGAAAAACTAATTATTTAAAGGATTATAAGGGGGAAAGAATCGATTATGATTAATAATATCTTTGAGGTACAATGGGAATAAAATTTAAAATTAAAATTCGAGAATAGTAAGAGTCGGCATGCAAAAATCCTAATTTAATTTATTTATTAAAGTGTTGCCAAATTGATTTATTCTATGTTCCAATTAACTTTAAGCCGAATAATTGCATTTCTGTACGTCAGTATAATTTTCAAACACGAATTAAGTACCCTACGAGAACTGAAGCAAACAGAAAGTTGGGTAAAGTGATTAGCTGTATGTATTATGGTGGAGAGTTTACGAGATTAGAATACTATTTATACTTCGCCATGTTTAATGTGAATAGTTAATAGCACAGGTGGATTATTACGATAATTTCTTTAAAATTTTCCTACGTAATTGTTTGCTGTACAGCCTATATTGTTTAATGTGACAACAGTTAGAAAGCGACTTTATTCGCGTACTATACCCGTGTAGCTCGCGAGCTTCCAGTTAAGATATACCCCTATACAGTAATATCCAATTATGTATTTAAGATATGAACAGGTAGACAGATTAACAGTATAGTGATTGTATTCAGTATGTTATTCCTATTATTATTGATCTATTAACCTCTTATATCATCAGGAAGACGATTCTCTCGAGCCACTGATTGGGAAATTATCTCGTACAATACGAATGACTTATTTATGCTGTAGAAGGCAGCTATTAATAATGTTTGATGGGTTGTTATTGGATAAATTAAGCGACCAATCACAGGAGTTCATCTAATAAACATTTAGGCTTATGTCCAATTTTCTTACAACCAGGTCTCCTTTTTTTGACCTCTTGCAATGATTTAATAATGATTTTTTTGGCTAAGTTTTCTTAAATAAACACGTTACGTTTCTATATTTTGATATTAGAAAGTTGAAGCTGAAACAGAAATGTTTCTCACAATTCAGTGTTTGACGCCATTTTATAATTAGTCACGTATAAGGCAATTGACTTATTGGAAATTAGCTCGTGATCTACCAGTTGATAGATGTAGTGGTAGTTTATAACTGTTTACTATCCCAACATTCAAGAAGTGCTAAACCTTTTACAGTTTGTTTATTTTCTTTTATAAATTTTTCTCAATTTCTCACCTTAAAATTTGAAAAATTTAGCTTTTAAGAATGGAATACTGCAAAAATTATTACGAAAAATATATATAAANCTTTCGGCCTCACTGGCACTTGCAGTCCAATCTTGACGATCTTCTGCACGTTTCCTCCAATCATCGACCCTCATCTTCCTCCACATCATCCAGCCATGGCTTCCGTGGTCTTCCTCTACATCTCCCGCCACCCGGATTTCCTCTATAAATCTTCTTGGCAGCTCTATCATCCGACATTCGCTCAACATGCCCGAACCATCTCTTTATTTCCACAGTATAACCGTACAGTTCTACCAATTCACTGTTTTACCGCATCCTCCATTGCCCCAAATATTTTCCTTAGAATTTCCCTCTCCCATCTGAACAGTTCCTCCACTGATTCTTTATACATAATAAAAATTTACTAATTTGTTTGAAATTCCACGCGCGTATTCTCAAGATTACGCAATATCAATTATTACATTAATTTTACGCAATTATTCTTGTAAAAAAAAAAACAACTTAACTCCCCAAATTTAATAGGCTTATTTCCAGATACCCGCACCTTTTCTTTCACACAAAAAAAGAAAAATAATAATAATAAATAAACGCTGACATTAACAAACTTCACAGAGTTTCAATGCCTGAATGCACAAATCATCCTTCATTACGGTTTTGAGAAAAGTTTTATCTCTAACAGAGCTACAATGGAAACAAAACATGGTAAAATGTGCCAAGTATGTCAACACATTTTGCCAAATCCCAACTCATCTTTATAGCTTGAGTATTGCTATAGGTGGGCTACTGCCAAAAACACTATCTCTTATGTGTTTTTTTTTTTCTTTCTTTCTCCCATTTTAATTTTTTCTTACCTCAGTTCCGGTATGACTACAGAAAAGAGAGGAGGAAAAATCAAATTAAGAAGGAGGAGAAGAAGAAGAAGAATTTTTACCAAAATGGCGGCGAGCCAATTCGTTTGTTGTTCGTCGACCAAATCTGAAGAGAGACCCTCTCATTGTCCTAGAAGTTTCAAATGAAGACAAACGAGTCTTTCCTTCGTCTCTACGGCATCAATATTCCAATGTCTGATGAACAATGCGCACTTTTTAAACTCCATTTTCTTTATATTCTTTTTAAAAAAAAATTATAATCGCCAGACGACAAGAAGATAAAAAAAAAACAGACGATACAACTCGATCACGTGACTCTTCGTTTCGCGCGCGATGACGACGAAACCAAACGATAAATTATTATTAGTAAATTCCTATATTATAAAATATAAACTAAAATATCATACTTTTTACAGAAAAATTTATAAAATATATATCTTTTACTCATTATTCCTGAAAGACCAGAGTTGCTCCTGAAGGACCCCTTTATTGAATTTTCTCTTTAAAGTCGTGGTTTTGTGTTTGATGGTCCCGGATGGCTGCCCGGAATTATCGGGGTTTTCTTTACTTTGTGTAACACCTAAATAAAAGCCAGTTTCTTATAGAAAATATTCCAAGAGGCACTCTTGCCCCTTGCAAAATCAAGCTTGTGCTGCAGCCTTTGCCTTATTCCATAAATCCAATCCTCTTCAAGGTGACTTTATTCATTTAGAAAGTGAAATTAATTAATGATGTCCAGATTGGCATACAATTAAATTGTAAAATGAAAGTTAACTACAGTATATAACAATTGTTTATATACAAAATCTCCGAATATAGTTACAATGGCCATCATGATTTCTTTAATTCTTTTAAGATTTATAGGGCACTCAACCGAATTTTTAACCTATGTTACTTCATAAAGACACTAAACTGTTACCACGATAATTATTTTTAAAGAAAAATCTGCAAAATAAATATCTCTTATCCATTATTCCCGAAAGACTAGAGTTCCTCCTGAAAGACCCCTTATTGAATTTTCTCTTTAAGGTGACCTTTCTTCGATTAGTAACTCAAATTAATGATGTCCAAAAGACATTGACATGCACCTAAATCGGCAAGAATATATAATTACATTACTTTGAATCGATTTTAATAATACTTTAAGACATT